TGTTGGTTCTAGAAGCAAACTTGACTCAAAATCTGTCAAGTGTACCTTCACCGGATATGACTTAGATGAGTTTGGGTACAAGTTTTGGGACTATCAGAATAAAAAATTCATCAGGAGCAGATATATCACTTTCAACGAGATGGAGATGTATAAAAATAGGGTTAGAACTCAGGACAGTTCATCAGCTACTTCTGAAGAATTCAGATATGTGGAGATAGTTCTATGCAAAGAAGGTTGGTCTGCAAACTAAAGAAGAGCCTCTATAACTTGAAGCAAGCCCCGAGAGAGTGGCACAGAAGGTTTGATAGATTTATGTCAGAAAATGGGTACTTGAAGTGCCAGGAAGACTACTATTGCTTCATTAAACACTTCGGTAACTGTTATATTTTGTTTCTTTTGACTGTGGATGACATGTTGATTGTAGAGTCAGATATAAAAAAAAATCAGGGACTTGAATAATCAATTATTAAGTGAGTTCGAGATAAAGTATTTAGGTCCAACCAAAAATATTCTCGAGATGAGAATCAACAAGGACATGAGTGCAGGTACATTGAAGCTGTCTCGGGCAAAGTATGTTGAAAATACTCTACAAAGGTTCAACATGAGTGAGGCAAAACCAGTTAGCACTCCCTTAGGCAATCCCTTCAAACTATCTAAAGAGCTACCGCCTAACTTTAAAGCAGAGCAAGCACAGATGGAGAGAACTTTGTATGCTTCAACAGTTGGAAGTTTGATCTTCCTGATGATTTGTACCGAACCAAATATTGCATATGTAGTGGGAGTAGTCAGCGGGTACATGGACAATCCATGTATACATCATTTGGAGGCGATAAAATGGATTCTCAGTATTTGAGAGTAACGATAAAAAAGACACTTTGTTATAGAAATACAGGGATCAGTTTACACTAATTTGTAGATTCAAATCTGACAGGAGACGGGGACAGTAGGAGAAGTACAACGGGGTATATCTTCTTATTGGGGAGCATAGTAGTGATTGTTGAGAAAATAAAGTTATGTTTGACTTCAGTTGGGTTTCATGGAGGTTGAGATCGGGGGTGAGCCACATCACAGTATATGACTACGGTACATGACTATGAAGGCAAATTCAGATGGTGTAGCTACAGAGGACTAGACTTAGTGTTATCGATCTCCAAGTGGGAGATTGTTAGTTGTGGAGTCTGATTGTAGCACCCATGAGCATCAGACAAACTAGCTTCCACGCAATCAGTGCATCTGACGCCAATGCGCCAGCTATGGGCGCTTAAGCGCCCATTGAGTGTTCCCAGACCGAGAAGGTGGAAGTCTTGCGCCCAAATTGGGCGCTTAGACGCTCACTTCTACCATTGGGGCGCCTGTTTCCATAGAACTTGGCGTCCATGCGCCCAGAGCAGTTTTCATGTGAACTGTTATTTATGTCACGATTTCAGGCAGCGTATGTGCAGGCTTGGCCTGTTTGTTCATCAACAAAATCCCGGTGAAGGTGAAAAGTGTCGATGTGAAGGATTCTGGTGTTTTTCGACGTGCATTTCTGCGTCGGATCAGTAGGAAAAGTGTGAATTGGTGCACTGTAAATTTCTTCGTGTGAGTGTGGATAAAAACTTGTGTGAATCCATGGTAAAATTCTCTGAAATTTATAGTGAAATTTGTTGTGGTGTAGTTCTGTGGTTTTTCCTCCTTATCGGGTTTTTCCATGTAAAACTCGTATGTTCTTTTCTGATTGTTTTTTTATTATGCTTCTGGTTTAAATTTATTGTTTTGGTTTTCTTGAATCCTATGATTCTATTCTGCTTTGACATTGAGAATTGTTTGGAGGATTCTCAATGGTCCGAAGATGAGTCATTTAGTGTCATATTAGGAATATTATGTGGGGTTATTCTAAAGTAACTTTCAGTCCAACATGGTGCCTATCACCAGATGTCCAGATGCTCGATACCTGAGTCGTGAGAATACTCGTTTACCTACAGTTCCAGCTCAGGGCGTGTCAAAGTTGGGCGAATACCTATTCTACCAAAATGTGTTTTGGAATGACAATGCTTATAAGATTGATCTGCTCGGGGGCTGCAATGTTTCAGTCATGTTCAATGTCGTTGACTTGACATCGTACTTTGAAGAGCCCGGAGCTTCGACAAACAAGATCAAAGCTTCCGTAACCATGAGAGCCTGATGCGGGACTTTTTGCACTGACGCAGGACACGAGACTTCACGTGGCGGGATTTCACGCTACTGAACCCGAGCAGTCCAATTGAGGGCCGGTCTAAGGTGAACCTAGGCTGAGCAGCGTGGGATGAGATTTTGACTAAACAGGACTGTCGCCTGCCCCTCTCCTCCTTCCTTTTCTACTTGTTCATGTTGGAGCTATTTATTTGTTGATTTTAGAGTGTAGGGTTAGTTTTGTTGTGTGTTGCTTTTAGATTCCTTTATAGAATTGTTCTCCCTGTTTTAAGGTTGTATCCAAGGAGGTGGTGGTGCTTCGGTTGTATCCTACTCCAAGGTGGTGTCTTATCATCGTCTATTCTCCTCCCTAACCTTTCTCCTTCAGTTCCATTAGCCATCGACCATCTCCCTCCCATCTCCGCTGATATGCCGCCACTGCCTTGCTGTCCAGCCTTTCAAATCCGCCTTCCAGCACTCTATTCCCCTCCAACCTGCTGCTGGCCTTACTGTCTAGCCGTCCCAGCCGCTCCTTGCAGCTCGTTGGGCCCCCTATAGTAGCTCACCTTACTGTCCGGCTCACTTAACTATCACCCAGCACCCTTCGCCACCCTTCCCTCCCTACCGTCCCTCTCCCAAAACCCCAAACCAACCACCAACCACCACCCTTTCAAGACCCTCCACCCTTCGCCTTTTCCCTTGCCACTTCGCCGACGCCACCACTGCTCTTGGATCCTTTCTTTCAGTTCTGGTCGGATATTGGTTTGCTATTGTAGTTCCCATTTCTTTTTGTGTTGTGTTGTAACCTTATTTCAATATTAATAAGTTATTTTTGTTTCCGCTAATTTTCTAACTAGTTCTGGTATCACTCACATTGGAGCCATAATTGGGGATCATTTGCTTATCAATGGGTGGATACTAATGCGAGATTGAGAATTAGAAAAGGTGACATGGCACACCGTTGGAAAGGTGTTGTTGATTAGAAACTGACAAGGGGCAAGCCTGACCAAAATAGTATAGAAGTCATTCGAGTGTCAAGAGCTAATATGGTATTGTGCCTCACAAAAGAGACGCAAGCATTGGATCAACACCAACCATATACTGAGCTAAAACTTCTTTAGCTTACAAGCTAAATTCGAGAAGGTTTTGTTAATGTGGTTGCATATTAGGTTTTCATGCGGGCGGAAGGAGCACGTTTACTGTTGGAATTGCAATATTCCTTGAGTAGGAAGTGGGAAGCATGTACAATTGGCAAGCACAAGCTGACCGAGATGGGCCATGCAAGCAAGGCGAGTAAGCTAAATGTTAGAAACTAGAGTGGTTTAGAGAGCGATAATGTGCATATCTAGCCAAGCAAGGTTGGAGTTGCTTTTCTTCTTTAACCTACAAAGAACAATTTTTTGTTGTTAGTCTAAAGAAATTAAAAAGGATTGATCTTTTTTAGTAACTATGGTTTGTGTTGTCAATTGGGACTATATTAATTTGGGGTGAACGCTGGTCAAAAAGGTCAATTTTGAGCTAAGTTTGGCTAATAGAGAGCTTGATGCCTTATTATGTGAGCTTTATGATTCATGACTTATATGCTGTCATTGGGAAAATCCGGGTTTACGTTATAAGCATAATATATTGGTGTCACTATAGTCATGCTAACCACCTAGTCAAGAGAAATATGTTATGTTCTTACTAGCATGAGAATTTTTTAGTATGTTCATATCATCATACACATGTATATTTGATATTGCAATTGCTTTTTAAGCTCTTTTATCAAATTTTATTTTTTATTCTTGACAAATTGGTGTAGATGATGGATGAGTGACTGTTCCGTGTGTAAAAAATTAGTTAATGCTTGAACTTTTAGTGTGCGCATGTGTAGGTATATGTATATGTGTTTCCTTTTAATTGGTTCTAGTTATAATTTTTCTTTAATTATGTCAATCTCCGGGGAACATGTTCTTCTGGAGTTTAAGAGTACATTTTCATGCTAGAACACTCTTTGGTTCTGATATTCTAATAATCGAAACCATCATCATGAAGATCATGTGCCTCAAAGCATGCAGAGGGATCTTTTGAACATTCTTGTTCATTTTGATAGCATTAAAAAATAATTACATTAGCATGCCAAAAAAGGAAAGAACGTGTTAGTTCTTTATGTTTTAATTGAAAATTGGTGTAATGTATGCCTTGTCAAGTTTATTATTTATTAACAGAGAAAGCTCAGGTCATCGGATTATAGAACTCGGCTCCACTTGCTCGCTCTTAAGGGATCATACCTAGGAGAATTTGTAGGGTATTTGAGTTTGATTTCCTTAACATTAATTTATAATGTGTATTGTTTTGGGCTGAGATTGTCGGTTGATCATGGGTGTGTCAACTGTGCCATTTCTATGCTGAGGATTGGGTTTGAATGAAGTTTCATTATGCAAGGTTTTTAAGGACTTGTAAATGCATTGCAAAAGATTTTATCAATCTACATGCTTGCATTTATTTTTTTACAACTTGAACGATTGTCAACCTTTGGATCCATTCTAATATACTCTTATATGTTAAGGAGCTGGCCTTGAACACTTACTGATTTATGAACACCATCAATTTTACTTCCGCATATTGTGTATCACTTTAGTGCGATTATTAGGTTATGGATCTTATGGTTTGTCCTACCTGTTTGAAATGGATTTAATAAGGTTTCCTTTTTATATCATTAGATGTTGATAATAACATAAAAAATTTGGCGCTAAAACATTATTGATTTCTAAATTTCCTTAAAGTAGATTGGAATGCGTGTCTTCTTTCTTTCACCATCAGGTTTAGAAGTATCTCATTTTACATTTGAAATATGTCCTCAACTGCAGATGATTTTGTTTAATGTCGCCTTCTTTGGAACCGGTAATTTTGCGAGCATTGCAAGTTTTGAGATATCATCTGTTTACCGATTCATGACAATCTTCAGTGTAAGCTTTGTGTTTAGATCTATGTTTGTGTATATTTATATTTTCATTATCTGGATTGCCAGTCCTGAGTTGTCAGCTAATATCCTTCTAATTCCAGCCCTTTCTCATGGCGGCATTGCTTATATTCAAGTTGTTTATTCCATTTATGCTTGTCATGTAAGTATTTCCTCACTTTATTTAAGTTCATATCATTCTTGTTGAACTGTTAAAGTTAGTGTAGAAATTAGCACTTTTAGGTTTTTTCTACGTTAAAGTTTTGAGGCTTTATATGGATATCTACCACCCGTCTTTTATTGCAATATTATTAATCATAACGTGTCTTTTGTGTGGACCTATTTCAGCTTCATTTTTCTCAGGGGGTAATGTTAGTATCTTGATTGTAACATTTTTTTTATTTTGTTTGTGGCACATTTTGTGTGGAGGGTTCATTAAAGATATATATTCACAATGTGTTATATGGAAGCCGCAAAGTTACAATCACGTTCAACTTGCAATAGATTTAAACATAATACCAAACTGATCTAATGCATTGAAAATTGTTGAGTTTTATCAACTATTGGTTACTGCATATTCAAATAGAATTTTCGATGGATCTAAGGTTCCGTTCGGCATTGCTATTATATGTTTTATCATGTTGTCCTGTCGATTAAAGTTGGTTCCTAATTACCAAAATCATGTTAAGATTATTGTTTAATGTGTTGTAGGAGTTGCGGTGGTTTGGTAAAAAAATTGTTAGTAGTTCTTTTTTTGAGTTGATGGAATGATCAAAATGGATATTATTATGAAGTTAATTTAATCATAATAAAACATTGTAATCATATTTTATGCATTGACAAAATACTTTATTCATTAATTACTTATATAATAAAGCTATCCATTAAAGCCTTTTTTGGGAAACAATATAAACTACCGTTTTATGGAATTAGTTATTTAGCTTTCATACAAATGAACTTATGGCTAGTTTTCGAACATTCTAAAACTGCTATACTATGCAACGAAGTAGAAGTAGGTATTAGAAATATGTCATTGGTGATGCTTTCTACGGCTTAATTATTTTCTTTTTGAGTATAAAATGAGTTTTCAGATGTTTAGTAAGAAACTAGCTAGCTGTTGGAAAAGTTGGGATTTATGAAAGCCAGTAATAGATTTTTAGAAAACTGTAAGTTAGGTTATCTATTTTGAGAAGCGCCTTTCAAAATTTCAGGTTTCTATATTCATGACAAAAAATCTGTTCCTCACAGTGATTTAATTGAAATTTTGATAGTAAATTTAACTACTTAATTAGATTAATTGCTTTATTGTTTAACAATTTATATGTTAAACAACAGCAATCTAGACGTTGCATTGGTAGTCTTTTGTTTAAACTTAAATGATTAATTAATTGAAATAGGAATGAATTATGTTAATTGATCATAAATTAATGATCATGATAATAATATAGGATAATTAAGTATTTTTGTGGGGGCTTAGAGGAAGGAAAGGTTGAAGGGAAAGAAGTAGGGCCACTTCTACATTCCTTGCCATAGTTGGCGTTGATATAGATGACTAAGGAGGAAGCAAAATAGGTATTATAGGTGTTAGTGAGAAAAAATTTCTTTAAGTGGATTATGTCGCAAAAAATTGGTGTAAAGGACACTCTTATAGGATTGATAAGGAGGTTGAAAGCCTTGTTAAGTTTGTAGGTGGGGTTAGTCGATGATGGGGATAGTTGAGTTCCCAGAGGAGATTAACACATTTTATAACTAAAAAATAAGTGTTATGCTTAAGTTTGTATTGAGTATTTATTAGGAGATTGAATTATTAAGTATTAATTAATGTTTTAGGTATTAAATTTGTAAAATGACTTATATGTACAACAACAACAAGCCTTTATCCTGCTAATTAGGGTCAGCTACATGAATATGTTTCTCCATTGCGTCCTATTGAACGTCATATTTTCATTTAATTTTAATAAATTAAGATCATTTTTTATACAATATGCCCAAGTCTTTCTAGGTCTACCTCTGCCTTTCTTAACATAAGTCGATTCTAAAACATTTACTCTCCTATTCGGATCATCAGATAGTCGACATTTAATATCACCAAACCATTTAAGACGACTCTCTCTAATTTTGTCTGCCACATGAGCTACACCGACCCTATCACAGATATATTCATTTAGCATTTTGTCTCTAATTGTAAAGCCACTAATCCACATATGCATTCTGATCTCGACAACACTTAATTTTATGCTTCTCTTTTAAAGGCTTCTCTTTTAAAGGGCAATATTTTGCGCCATAGAGCATTGCAGGTCTGACCACCATCTTATTAAATTTTCTTTTCAATCTAAGCGGTACTTTTTAATCACATAATAGGCCCAAAGCATTCCTCCACTTAAACCAACCAACTTGAATTCTACTAATAACATCCCCATCTATATCACCATCACTTTGAACAATATACCCGAGATATCTAAAGCGTTCACACCTTTTAATAATATGATCGCCCATAGTTAAAACTCTGTCACTAGATCTACTACTGCTAAAATTATATTCCATGTATTCAGTTTTAGTTCTATTCAAATGGATGCCTTTACACTCCAGTATAGACCTCCATAATTCATGTTTTTTTTGAGCTCTTTCTCTAGTCTTATCCACAAGAAGGATATTTTTAGGGAAAAGCATACGCCAAGGTACATCCTTCTGTAAATGTTTAGTAAGAGCATCCATAACTAAAGCAAAAAATTGGGCTTAAAGACAATCCCTGATTTAATCCAATTGAAATCTGAAAAATACTTGGTCAATTCCCCTTTAGTTTGAACATAAGAAAGAGCTCTAGTATATATTTCTTTGATGACTTGAATATAAGTCATATCAACACATTTCTTCTCTAGAACTCTCCAAAGGATATTTCTTAAAATCTTATCGTAAGTTTTTTTTATATTAATAAAAATCATATGTAGTTCCTTCTTATTCTCTCTGTACTTCTCCATCAAACCTCTTAATAAATGTATAGATTCTATAGTAGACCTGCCCGATATAAATCTAATCTGATTATAAAAAATCTTTGTAATATGTCTTAACTTATGTTCAATTACCTTCTCCCAAAATTTTAAAGTATAGCACATCAACTTAGTTACTCTATAATTTGCACACACTTGTGCATCCTCTTTATTCTTAAAAATGGGGACCAAATTACTCTTCCTTTACTCGGACATCTTTTTAATTTTTAAATAATATTAAAGAGTTTAGTGAGTTAATAAACTTTCAAATCTCCTAAATATTTTCACACTTCCATTGGGATATCATAAGGTCCTACAGACTTTCCACCATTTGTTTTCTATAAAGCCTCCTCAATTTTTTTTTACTAATGCGATAATAAAAATGAATATTTTATTATTATTAACGATATTAAGATCACTAAAGTCGATCGTATTTTCAGAAATTTCATTAAAAAGTTTATTATAATAACTCACATACCTATGTTGAATATCTTTTAATAAGAAAAATACTTTTTTTATTTTTATCTTAATACACTTTACTTGAGTTAAATCTTTGTTTTTCTTTTCTCTTTATTTAACTAATTTATGCATATATTTTTTACCTTCTTTAGTATCTAATCTATTATACATATTACTAAAAGCTAAATTTTTAGCTTCACAAATTGTTCTGTTAAACTCCCTACGGGATATTTAATATTTTTTCGAATTTTCTAAGTTTTTACATTTAAAACAGTTTTTATAATATAACTTTCTATATTTTATCATTTCTTGCACATTATTATTCGACCATCAATTTTTTTTTTTTATATTGAAACTTTTCCTTTTGATTCTCAATGTACATCTTTTGTCATTTGTTTAATTGTATTTGTTATTTTATCACACATAGAATTTGTTTCTTCATGAACATCCCAAGAACATCCCAAATATGAACATCCCAAATTTTGAAATCTTAAATTTTACTCTTAAAAATAATTTTATTTGTATCTTTTAGATACCCTCAACAATTTTATGATAATGATTCATAATATGCTTTATTTTACAACTCTTCATCATAAAATCTAAAAATAATAATCAATGTTGAGTATTTAAATCCTCAATTGAAATGACCTTACAATCTTTAAATTCTTGACGATCTCTTCTTCTCATAAGAAAATAATCAATGTGTTTTATTAAATTCATTTTTATGTAATAATATGCTTATTTCTTTTCTTGAATAAAGTATTAGCAATAAAAAAATCATACGCTAAAGCAAAATTTAATATGACTCTACTTTCCTCATTGATCACTCCAAAATCGTAGCCGTCATGAATATTTCTAAAATCTTCTACCACTCTGCCGACATGCCCTTTAAATCTCCTCTAATAAAAATGTTTTCTTCATGAGGTATTATTTTTATTAATTCTTCTATGTCATTTCAGAATTACTTTTTAGAACCTATATCTAAATCTACTTGAGGAGCATAACCACTTATAATATTAATAATCTTAGAGGTGAATGAAGTGTCGGTGTTTGTTAATACTTTATTAAGAGCTCGCTCTCTTTCCTTTACCCTTTCTTAATCTTGTTTGTTGGTTCATGAATTGATAATCTATAGAAAACGGGAGGACGACTTCATGTGCAATTCATTTGCAACATTTTTATGCAGCGTGGTATGTTTTCTACTAGATTTTAATGTCTTCATGCACAATACACAAACATAAATGATGTGCATATTTTCTAAAGAGGTGAATGGAATATCAGATCATGTCATCGTGCCTTCTATGATCCACCGACACTTCATTATTATGAAATGTATCATATTAGACATGCATAACACCCACTCGCTTGACACGCACATTATATGCGTCATAGGAGCCATTTATATGTATATAAAATTAAATGAAATAAAAAATTTTAAAGGCATGTCTTACAACTATCCAGAGTAATAAAATTTAACTTTAAAATTATAATAAACAAATAAGTTAAGTTAATCCATCTTTTTATCTTTTTTTTTTAACATAAATTACTTAAATAACTTAATTAATACTTAACACTTATTTTGTTTTATTTTATTCTGCTTTTCTATGATTTATTATAATGTTTATTATTTTTTTTTTATACAGCAACAACAACAAAGCCTTAATCCAACTACCTGGGGTCAGCTACATGAATTATTTTTCTCCGTTGCGTTTTATTTAGTGTCATATTTCATTTAGTTCTAATAAATTAAGATCTTTTTATAAAATAAGCCCAGTCTTCCTAGGTTTACCTCTGCCCTTCTTAACATAAGTCTAAACTAAAACATCTACTCTCCTAATCGAACATCAGATGGTTGACATTTAATGTGACCAAACCATCTAAGACGACTCTCTCTAATTTTGCCCGTCACTAGAGCTACTCCAACCCTATCACGAAGATATTCATTTCGCTTTTTGTCTCTAAGTGTAAAGCCACTCATCCATCTAATCATTCTCAGCTCGGCAACATTTAACTTAGTATTATGCTTCTCTTTTAAAGGCCAATATTCTGCGCCATAAAGCATGGCAGGTCTAGGTCTCACTTAACTTAGTATTATTTATTTTTTTATTATTTTATAATGGAAAAAAATAAATAATCTATGATATTATATTTTATTTTTTACTTCAATTCAGTTTATCATATTTAATAAATTTAAATATATTTTTATCTTATGAACAAATAAAAAAGTTATCATTATATAAAGTTAATTTATATTTATTTAATTTATGTAATTACTATATGGTTTTTATTTGTAAGATATAATATTACAATATCATATCAATGCATGTGAATGCCATATATTTTTAATATTCGACATGTGTGGTATGTGTTGTAATGTGCTTGTGTCATCGTATTTCTTTTGGTACATAATACGTCCACAGTATGTAGAATGTTATTGAACTTTCGGGATGCTCTACTTTTTCATAAGGGTAATGCATAAGTGTTGCTAGAATGTACCCAAAATTTTGCAAATAAAAAAGGAACGAAACTACAAAGGAAAATGAAGGAAAATCAAACACATGCAAGTTTGCTAGAAAAAAAATAAAATTATGCCTTTTAGGCAGGCAAGCATAAACAATCTATAAAATAACTCCTAAATTTTACATATCACCGACTTCTATGTTATTTACATGCATGACAATCAAATCTTTCGTATCACATAAAAAATATCACTATTTTAATTTTTAAAAAGTGAAATACATCCTTTTATTCATAAGATTTCATATATGTAAAAATTAAATTTAAGATGTTGGATTTGTAAATACATAAGAATTAAGTGGTGTATATATATATATATATATATAGAAATTCCATTTTAAAATTCATGGAAAATTGCCAGTAAAAAAATATAGAAAGTGGTGCATAAAAAATTGAGTCTTGTTGAACTAAGTTGTTGTGCATAAAGAGTAAATTGAACACTTGTTTACGCTATTTATTGCTTTTCAGTTATGAATAAATCTGAATACCTAGTCTAATATTCAGCTCTTACACTTACTCTCGTTAAAAACCCTGCAGATGCGTCTTCAGTGCTCTGACAAAGCTTCTTCATGTTCCACGCTTAGGCTGTTATTTCCTCGTAATACTGCTTTCTGATGTGATGACGATACATTTCTTTTTCCTGGTAAAGTCTTTTGATTTCGCTAATTTCATTTTTTAGAGATTAATGATTTCTTTTCTTAATTACTTATGTCTAAAATTTAATGATGATATATAATTTAGTACTAAATTACTAATTTTGTTGCTATAACATTCTTCCATGATGCTTCTATGGTGATCTTCTCCATTGAGATCCAGATGCACTTTTTTTTTCTTCCCACCTTCCTGTTAATGTCATTTGGTCTGTGTGCAGTTAGTATTGATATCACATTTATCAAAAAATTAAAAATAAATGAATAAGAAAAATAAAGAAAATTAAATATATCAAATTGGAATACGGTTGTTTGTGCAGTGCAGCAGGGCAACTTGCATGATATATGCTTATCTCTTCCTTTAAGGTCATTTAGGATCAGGAATGGCAATGAGTTTGGATATTAGACTGGTCTGCCTAACTGTTAACCCTTTTTTCTGCATTCCAATTCTAAACTATTTTGATGAGTACTGAGCTTCTAAACCCTTTTTTTCTACCCACACCTAAAACTCCATTATTTAATTTGCAATTTCCCAGTTTTTAAAATAGTTGAACGAGGGCGGGCTTGAGGACTTGGTTCAACTTAATTATTAAAATTTGAATTGTGGGTGGACATGGTGGGCGCAGGATTGCTTGCTGAAATTTTGGTGTGAATTAGTAAAGGATATCATCCTCTTATGTAATAGCCCGAACTCTCACCCGTCAAGATATTGCCCGCTTTGGCCTAATGGTCTCATGATTTTGTCCCATTGGTGTAACTGCTCAAGAGTGCTTGCTCTGTTGATAGAGTTGTTACTATGGGTGATCACATTATTAAGAGGTGTATAGAGTAAGATCTATCGCATTGAAGATGGTGAAAATATTGTAATCTCCCGGTATTAGAGGTTCTTCGACTGTGTCTCTAGAAGCACTTGGATCTCATTGTCCACAAAACACTTGAAAATGTTTTTTGAATTACATGTAACTAGCACTACATGGTCAACCATATTCCCCAATGTGATTGAAGAAGATGAATAGGATAACATTAATAGGAGATGCATCATATAGTTTTCTAATGGGGATAAGTTACATGAATAGGTGTGGTGTGATGTTGTACCCATGGGAGTAAGCGTTCTTGAACCCATCATTTTTCATTGATGATAAAACTGTACACCTTTCCCTTCATAGTACAATGAGTATTAAAGATATTGTGGTGAAGCTATTATTACTCTCTCGAAGCTTCAATCTGCAGAACACATTGAATGACAAGCATCTCACCCTCATCAATTGGTTTTTTTGCGGTGATATATAGTTGGATAAGTTATCATACAAGCTATGGTGGAATTGGGGATGGGCTAGGAGTAAGGAAGTAAACAAATCAAGCTCGAGCTGCACTTATGCCGAGCTCGACTCGTGAGATTTTATGGTTAGCTTGATCTCGAGTTTGACTCGAGCTTTGCTGAAAGCGCTACTTAGATCGAAGTATCTTATGAGTTCATGAAATATTAACTTAGTTTTTTATACAAAAAATTAGATTAATTGATGTAATTGACTTGACTCTATGAACTCTCAAAAAGAGTCGGGCTAAGCTCGACCTCTTTAAATAAATGAGCTTGGATTTAAGCTTGAGCTCGTGGCTCATTAAGCTCGTCTCGCTGGTTCATTAACAAGTCAAGTTTGAGTCTGCCAGCAAACCGGCTTGGCTTACTTACACCCTTGGTTAGAAGTAGTTAGATTTGATAAGGTCTAGTGTAGTTATTTATAATATAAAAGTTTAATTTTTAAATTCTGCTGTAACTGTATGTTTTATTCTCGTATCTTTCAATTCTCATTGGGACAAATCCTTCCGTCTACCCACTTGAAATACCAGTCTAACTATTCTCTATAAATGTGCTCCCCGTAGTCCTGAATTCATGGAGAAGATGCACGTGATGTGTGACATTTTTCACTCATATTATTAGTTCTTCTAGGGTGGCTTGTTTCACTATTTTACTTCAGAGATTGTTGTCGCACTTTTATTTGTTTGTTTTTTTATTATTAATTTTTTGGAATTTTTGAATTGAGAATTAACTTTCTATGACCAAATTTTAGTGTGGTAGTTAACAAAAAAAACAATTGTTTAGCTTTAAAAAAAATAAATTATAGCATCCTTAGCATTTATACTACTACAGCCACCTCAAATGGAAGTATGAAGTTGTAATATGCCAAAAGCATTACAATAAGAGGCTAATGATGGTTTTTATTTATGGCATTGATTATTTATTTATCTTTGCTCGGTAGATGATTCAATTATAGTTTCCTTTTAAATCCATCACATTTTGATTTATTGTGCTCCATCCCCATGGCGCATATTTTATTTCTTATTTTTTACTGTGACTGGAAGCTTGGTTTGATGATTCCTTTTCAATTTATGCGGATTCATGCTATATATATATATATATATTTAATTGTAGAATAATGCCTTAATAATTGAATAATGAAACGGCAGTGAGTGTACTGTAAATGCATTTGAGATTCACTAAATCTCAAGGAATAATCTGACAGCTATTGTTGACACAAACGAGATTATTTTGTAATATATATATATATATATATATATATTTGTCTCTTTTCTCAATTGGGCTTGAGCTCGTAGTGTTTTAAGAATGTTTATGATAACTTATGTTTAATTTTCTAATCCTCTTTATATGATGTGCGATCAGAACTAACTCACTACCAAGCTCTCGGATCTGTTAAGGATAAATTTATAATTTTGAAAAAGTTCTACAAAATTTGTTTGATTCTTATTCAAAGATTGAATTCTGTTTAACATTGGTTTGAGGCTTGAAATAAGTGAATTATTATCTTTTTAATTTGTGCCCCCTCACACTTGGATCATCCAAACTTAATTGTCTTCCAATCTTCAATAATTTGAATAATTATAATTATGCCCTTTGTAGAAAATAGTATGAATTGGTTTCTACCCTTTTAAATCATCTCAGAGGACTAAGTATCATAAATATTACTTTTTTACCCTCTCGTTTGACCTAAATTTTAATTAGAGTACCAAATTCTAAAATTACAATTTTACCCCTAGGGTTTCCTATCCCATAATTCATTTAGTTTAACTCAAATGACCATGAAACTTTGTTGGCCTGATAGCCATGGGATAATTGAAACATTAGAGAAAATTTTAGATTTTTTTTTTATTTTTATATATTTTGATCCAAAATTATGAATTTTTAATGTTAATTAATTGAATTAATCAAAACAAGCTTTTTTTTGTGGCATTTCCATATATACCACACAATTCTTATTACATAAAAAGAATACCATCATTACAACTTTTTTAGAAATTTAATACACCTTTTCATGCAGAGGTGCATGACTCATAAATATTATGAATGAAAATATCAACATTTAGGTGTTAAATCTGTAAATACATTAAGAATTGCATGGTATATTTGTAATTTTCCCTTTAATTTATAGATTTTTTTTTTTTTATGTCAATTTTATATACTTCAAAATGACCTAATGATATCAAGATTTATACATTTCAAGAAAAAAAAAAAATGTTCCTACTTTTGTAGGTTCGAAATACAGGAAGTTGGATGGAAATCGGCAACAGCATCAGCCATTTTGGAATCGTGAGCGCTCAGGTTGTTTTTATACTGCTTCTTTTTGCTCTTACAAATATTTACACAAGGGATATTGAGGTTAGGTCTATCCCATCTTTATCAAGGAAGAAAATGTAGCATTTATGGTGATATGCTAAATTTTTTTTATTTATTGCACAAATTTTGTATTTTTTTTTATTTATTTATTTATTTTTTTCTATTCATGAACATGATGATGATGATGTGGGCATGTTGTGTAAGAAATGATCTTATTTTATTAGAATTAAATAAAAATATGACACCCAGCAAGACAATGGAGAAGAAGGATCAGGCAGCCAACCCGACTTAGTGGGATAAAACATTTTTTTGGTTAAGCTTCATAGAAATTGGTTTGAGTTAGGATGATGTGAATTTTGGTTTCATTCATATGGTAGATTTATATTATACATTTTTCTGCATTTTAATGGATATGTATGTAACAGTTGTCATTTCCCTTTTTTTTTTTTTAATCAAAAAAGGAATAATTTGAGACTATTATTCGAGCCTCCAGTCATCCTTAATGTGCCTAACAATTCGAGTACCCCCTAAGGTGCCTAACAGTTGTCATTCCTATTTAAAAGATTAGATGATTCACATGCATGCCCCTCAATTACTATGTATTTATATTTTTAGCATCAAAATTTTATTTTTTTACAAATGTGTCATCTTTTTTACGTGATATGAAGGAATGTAAAATGGCATGGTGTTTGATTATATTGCTGGTGTTAAGATGGTATGGTGTTTATAGTGGAGGAGACTAATATATTTACTTATAAAAAGCATGAAAAACTGGTTTTTTTTTTTAAATTATATTATCATATTTTATAAAAAGCTTTATTTTTGGAAGCATTATTTAATATTTTAAAAATGAATATTATAAATTTATATTTTTATGCTTAATATTGATCTCTTAAAATTTCAATTTTTTATAGAATATTCTATTAATTTCTTTTTAAGCGTGCTGTGATTTCGTAGCATGCCGACTTCCCAATAAATCAGGTGGTTAAATAAAAAAGAAATTTACAGGCATGCCACAATATTTTATAAATTCACATGCTTTACGTTGCATTTTAATTAACAAAATAAATAATCCTAAATACTAATTTAATTAGACTGCAATTTTTTAGAGAGAATAACATTGAGATTAACTATTCATTGATTACTAAAAGTCAATAAAAAAACATTTAATCCAATCAATTACTAAAAACCTAATTAGCCTACGTTTAGTTCGCAATAATGCATCTCTTCTGAAAATATATACTTCCCCAAAATATCAACTGGCTCCGAATAAATTAATTTAATTATATTTCAGGAATTAAATGATTGCAGCAAACATCACATCTCCGCAAGCAGTATTAGAAAAATTATTGTATACGGATACCAAATACAGAGATGAATGCAGTGTCGGATTTACACCGTAGATATCTACGGTGATCTCCAGTGATGATGCAATCAAATTTTTTTAAAAAAAATTTAAAATGAGACCCACCGAAATACATCCTCACAGTAGATCATCATGGTCGACGATACAGATCAGACGTATGCAATAATTTTTCCATCAAGAGTGAACTGACACATGAATCTATTTAGGAGATAAAGATAGTAATCTACTATCACAGGAAAGAGCAGTCTCAGAAAAGTATTAAAAATTAGGAAGATTTACAAACATGCCACTAATTTTTTTGCATTTACGTATCTAACACTTAAACTACAATTTTTACATACATACCAATTCCAGTGTATGAAAAGATGAATTCACTATTTAAAAAAAGATTTTTTTTTTTTTTGTGAGATGAAAACTTTTAGTAGTATAATTGTAATAATTAAAATTCATGAGAATTGGGTGGCATGTATTTTAATGCCATAAAATTATAATTTCACGCATTTTGTATCACAGTAAATTTACAATAAGTTAAATGAGAACATAAAAGCATAAATGCTAATACATTTTTGGGTGAGCATTGAATTATTAAATCATCCAAACAAAAGAAAAACAGTGCTGGAGGTTAAATCAATAATTCAATGCTTATGAATCCCCTCTGGGTCAGAAAGTTGGGCAGAAAATGCATTTTCCAATTATACGAGGTGTTTCCTAAAAAAAACATATATTCACCTCTGGAAATTTGATGCCAAACATAATAAAATATATATATAAAAAAGAAAATGTAATGGATGGTTGGATACCTATTTGGGCTGCTTCAGCTTTACTTACATGGATGGATTCCATCATTTGTCAAGAAATTCTGGAGATTGAATGATCGTCGTTAGCTCCTTTAAATTAGCTAATATATGACGCGGTCCCAAGCTTTCAGCACCGAAGAAATTCAATATCTGCTCCAAGTCCTGCACAACCAAACAGTTAAAATACATCACAATAAATTTCAATCAAGTCATTCGAGTCTATATATCTCTCGCTCTCTCCCGTCTCTTTGTTATAATTTAATGTTATTTTATCATTCTATTTATGCGTGAAAAGGCACGTGCAAGTATAAAGTTTCAGCACGACGTATCTAAGAAAGAAGTAATTGTGTTTGAATGCGTGGCATATTGATTAGAAATAAAATGAAGAATCTCAAGATGTCGGGTTCAAGCAATCTCAGACCCAAAAATAAAATAATAATAATAATAATAATAATAAGCAATCGCCAGAAGTATGTGTAATAACCATGTATTTAGTTCTTTGTTGTGAATTGCTAGGCTTACTTTAGTTTGAGCGAATATAAGGATAGATTTTTTTTGTATTTTTTGTGCATTCAAGGCTATATTTTATGTATTTTTTTATCAACTTTCAGGAATGATGTATTGAAAAGTGTGCGTATTACTTTATGTGCCTGTTTTCAGTCCGATTGGCGTATAACCATACAACTCGATTTCCTGAAGCTGTCTAGTGTTTGTTTCAGTGATGATTTTGTGTGCGCTTTAAACTCTGCATAACATGTTATGACTATTTTTCATATTTTTTAGTCTTATATTAAATCTATCATTTACCTACACGTATGATTTTACAGCAGGTATAATTATTTTATCATACAAAGTTTCAATTATTGCATTTCTCCTTAACACCAATTTAAGATGCCTGCAAGAATGGTAAGAAAATGAAACTATGAGTAAATGTTGAGGATTTTAAGAGAGAAGAATTAGTTTGTCTGCTGTGCAGGAAGAAAACAACAAGAAAACACAACTAATTGGTGAAGATACGAATGTTGAGGAGGACCCATCATGTGCATTCTATCATTATATAGCTACGCCACTTTAAGAGCCAGGATACAACATTCCTAGAGGTGAGAAAATTGAGAAGAAATCTCCAAATGATACTGAGAAACATCCAAACTGTATAAACCAGTAAAAAGGCAACAAATATATAACCTCAAAACAAGTTAATCCCTAATAACAAAGGAAAAGAGGTCTTATGGGGCTGACACAGCCCTTGGCGTCTGGAAGATCTGAAACACCCATGGAAATTGAACAAGGTGGCCGGTTCGACGGTTACACAAAACGTCCATGTCATCCCCCTCATTTCTTCCCATTTGAGTTATTTCATGGATAAAGAAAGGGGGTGGAAAAGAAGTGACTCCAAAGAGAACTTGGATTTTGAGAGGTTGGTTAAATTTAGAAGTTAAGCCAATCAAAAAAATTTATTTACATGAGATAGACTCAATGATGTTAAAAGCAGGCTTCAAAATAAGTGGTTTAGAAAAAAGTACAAACTCACAACAAAGCACGTGTCACGACACTTCATCATGTTGATTTGCAGTGATTAGAGGAGAAACAATAATTAGAGGAGAAACAATTGCTTTTCCTTGTTTCTTTTGGTTGTTGACTGATGAATCGTTGGTTATATATGCTCTTCCTTTGGAGCTATTTGGTTTTGATGGTTCTTCTCATTAAACACTCTCTCACTAATTAATTTTCTTTTATACATCGCCTAATAATAACGCTAACAAAGGAAAAGAGGTCTTATGGGGTTGCACACCCCTTGGCGTCTGGAAGATCTGAAACACCCATGGAAATTGAACAAGGTGGCCGGTTCGACGGTTACACAAAACGTCCATGTCATCCCCCTCATTTCTTCTCATTTCAGTCATTTCATGCATAAAGAAAAGGGGTGGAAAAGAAGTGACTCCAAAGAGAACTAGGATTTTGAGAGGTTGGTCAAATTTAGAAGTTAAGCCAGTCAAAAATTTTTTTTTTACATGAGATAGACTCAATGATGTTAAAAGCAGGCTTCAAAATAAGTGGTTTAGAAAAAAGTACAAACTCACAACAAAGCACGTGTCACGACACCTCACCATTTTGATTTGCAGTGATGCACAATAGACTTCAAAATGAAATTTGGGTTCAAACTTTTTAATTTAGGTTAGCTTGTGCCACAATAATTAGACATGAAACAATTGCTTTTCCTCGTTTCTTTTGGTTGTTGACTGATGAATCGTTGGTTATATATGCTCTTCCTTTGGAGCTATTTGGTTTTGATGGTTCTTCTCATTAAACACTCTCTCACTAATTAATTTTCTTTTATACATCATTTTACTTCTAATTGTTCACACTAATAGCTTCACATTCAAGCTTATTCTCTAGAATACTTTACAATACCTCCAACTTCACGCTCCTAGTTCCACGTAACTTACACCCCTCCAGCTCTAGCCGGCCACTCAATCACACGAGTATTCTTCTTTTTCCAATATATTTGCTCATTGCTATATTATTTCTATCTTCGATTCTTCCTTCTTTGGCTTGTGGATATCCAAACTTATTCTTATTATACAAATCATTATATTTTCTGAAAATTATCACATAACTGTGGTTAAAGTTTGATTAATTAAAAGATACTAATGTATGCCGGCAATATATGTATATAATAATATAGAACTCATGAATACTCTAGTTAACAAAAGCATTGCTTTATTTCGCGCATTAAAGCACATATAATGCATGTTCCCACACAATGTAAAATATCATATTTATTTTCCTATGCATGATAGAAGTAGCTCTATTTTGTGTTGCACTATTCATACATGTTGGATTAAGTCTTATCACTTCATTCTGCAAGTTCTAATAAGTTTGTTAAATACGTTAAAATGTACAAATTTTTGTTTTCTATAATTATATCATATGATTTAATGAATCTAAAGAAATTTTGGATATAATATGTGCTCTAAACATGCAAAAAAAAAAAAGACTAGACTTTAGGTTGGTTTCGATCTTATTTTTTCTTGTATACAAGAGTGAGTTGATGGCCTCCTTCGAGAAAGAGAGGAGCAAGGTTAGCTCTGTTATCTAGTAATTAATGACATTGAGGCGACAATCTTAGTATTTTACGATCTAAAATATTTTTGAATCATCTGGAAAATACCATATTACTTATTGAATAGCGGTAAATGGAGTGAAGATTAATTATTTATATTCTCTTATTTCTAATATGAGGGATATGCATGCATATCATTCAAAACTATAATATTTACATGTTTAACATCTAAAACTCACTGATTACTTAATGTACCACTTCATTAACCCTATCCACAAAAAAAGAGGTGAGGAAGTTGCAACAAGATCTTACTTGAGAAGGAAATGAATAAGATTGGCATCGTGTGCCCTTCCCACTATGACAAAGAATAGGAGAGGAAGTCGCTATGAGGAGAAGGCCATCCACTAGATCAACAATGTGAAGTCCAAAAAACCTCAACGACAAAGAAGATGAGAAGAAATTCTATTGAGATCTCGTTGGGGAGACCATCATCTAGATTATCATCATGTGCAATCCCAAAAAACCATAATGACATATATGAGTTGAGAAAGTCACAATATCATTTGCCGTAGGAAAGGCATCAACAAAGTTAATGGGAAGTTAACAGTAGGGATGAGCATACTTTGAATCTTCTGTAAATTTCTTTCGAATGGAACCAAGATGTTTAAAAAGATGTATATGTGTATTGTTAGTAACACTGATGGTTTAGACTAATGTGAGTTCTCCTGCTGCTATAATTAAATCTGATGTGACTAGTCACATGTAACTAGAGGTGTAAACGAGCCAAGCTTGAGCCAGACTAAGGCTCATTCGTGTTCAACTCGTTCGAATTGTTTATCATAAGTGTTGGGCTCAGATTAAAAATAACTCGTGAATAGCCTATTCGCGCTTGGCATGCCTCAAACTCGATTATTTAATTAAGCTCATGTTCTGCTCAAAATAATAATTTATTAAAAATTAATAAAACAACAAATTAAATTACAAAAATTTAATTTTTTTTATTTTAATACTCTCCTAAGAGAGATCAAAATACAATTATTGCTCATGCAGGATCACAACCCCATCAAGCGTGAGATGGCTTCCGAGCAACTATGATCTGCTTTCAAGGAGAATAGTTTAAGTATTCATTCATTTATTCCCGATGTTGGATTAAACGCAGGCGGAGGGAGTGTTGGGCAGACAGAAGGGCAGCCAGGAAAGAAGGAAGGTGGGAGCCGCAGACCGCAGGGCAACCAGGCAAGAGGTAAGGTGATTCCAAGACCACGAGAGCATTTCTTTTCAAGCCTTTACATACATACCACCCAATTCTTTGTATATACGTATCCAAAGAAAAAAATTTTGGCAGGACCACGAGACGGGAGAAAGGTTCAAGACAAATTTATTTCCTTAGGGAATTTACATACATACCACCCAATTCTTATCTATTTACAAATCCAACAAGGAAATTTTATCTTTTATTTGTAATCCTAGCCCAAATTAATTAAATTTAATATTTTTTAAATACAAAAAAATTTAATATTTAAATATTATACTACTATTATTTATTTATTATTTAATTAATTCAAGCCAAATAGAGTCGAACACGAACAAACAAATCATTGTTCTTGTTCGGCTCGTTTGCTTAATGAAAAATCTAACACCAGCTACGAGCTACTTAGCGATCCGAACAAGATATGCTTGCAAACGATGAGCTTTTTTGACAGCCCTACATGTCACAATCTCATTGGACTAATTCATGATGGTAATTTCTAAGTATTTGTACTTGCAAGATATAATAACAACAACAAGCCTTTATCCAACTAAGTGGGGGTAGGCAATGTAAATCAGTTTTCTCCATTGTGTCCTATTGAGTGTAGCAAGATAATTCTAACTAAATGGAAAACAAACAAGGAGCATTTCTATGGAAACAGTAAAAAATAGATGGCATTTTTTGACATATATAATAAGAGAGGGGCAGTAAATAAAAAACAAACCTTATTTAATAAGAATATAGCATATGCCGCTCTTGTAGAATCTTGGCCTTCCAAGAAGAGAGGAAATTTTGTCGGCTTCGCACAAGCATCAACAACTGAACTGACAGTCGAATCAGATGTTGTGGCCTCTGTTGATGGCGCATAGTCACAAATGTGCGAACGAGAACCTCCTAAGTGCAGCGGGTATCGTAAAGGAACATCAAGATAAGAGGCAATGAGAAAGACTGCCTATAATACATGATAGTGATATTCGATGAGTCTATGGACAGCTACAATGAAACCTAGCAAGAAAACTTCATTGTGACAAAACAGCACGAAAAAGAGTAATTTGAGCTTACATGTGCGACAAAACCAAGAACAATGGAAGCCCTCTGCATCTCCTTTTTGCCACTAAAGAAGCCTGTCTTCTTCAGGGATGTCGGTAAGTTGCTGACCCAAAATAGTCAAAGATGACACTGGTGGTGACTTTGGCTCATTTTCTAATGATAATTGTACTTGATCTCCTAAAAATTTTTTATGCATCAGGATCTAAGCGAATTCAAGAGAATACATTGATCAATAATTTATAAATCACTGATAAAAATATAGTTGTGTGAGTAGGAAACATGCACTATCTATTGAAATAACCAAATCTCGGTTAAGAAAGATGTAAAGAATCAGAAGTGGTAAAATTTACCAATATGAAAATGATAACCAGTGGTAGCATGTAAATGGCGTCAATTTGCAGTAAGTTGCCCTACTAAATTTTAAAAAGAAAATTATACGGAAGATTTACATGGATAGCATTTAATTCCTACGTATTTACATATCCAACACCTAATCTTCAATTTTTACATATATGCCACCTTACCTAAGCATGCAAAGGTGCATTTAATTCAAAAGTTAAAATGGTGGTATTTTAGTTGTTATAGAAGATTTGGGCAGTATACATTTAGAAGGCAGAGCTTACGTGTTAGATATGTAAATGCATAGGAATTGGGTGGTATGTATGTAAATGCCCCAAAATGAACATTTAGAGCACAACACAATAAGCACATTACTACAATTCTTCTAAATGCTTCAAATTTTATTTTGCCACAAACGTGTTGTAAAAAGTTAATAAAATTAATTAACGTGAATAGAAGCTTTAAATATAAGTCCTCTTGACCAATAAATTGCAATGAAAAACCACAATCTCAACAATAAAACTGATAAAGCAATAAAGCATGATATCTTACCCCCACAAGGTTTATCAAGCTTCTCCTTCAATGCATTTTCATTGGAAGACTTCACAGGATACAAGGAATTCACTTGATTTATCATATGTTGTTGTCTCATCCGTAGCATCTTCTGTAAGCTTTTAGCATTTCCGTGTCCCATCTTTCCAATTACCAATTTATTAGCCTCCTACCAAAATGAGAATTCCATTTTAAATCAGATACCAAAGATATGGGGCATCACCCAATACACATGTATTTAAATATGTAACACTAAACTTTTCTCCACCCAAATCTTTCATATCGCACAAAAAATACCACCGCTCCAATTTGAAAAAGTGAAATACACTTTTTGATGCATAGGGAAGGTGGCATTTATGTAAAATTGAAGTTTGGGTGTTAGATATGTAAACACAACAGAATTGAGAGGTATGTTTGTAAATCTTCCAAAAAAAAATTTATATCAGTTGCCGAGCTCAATTAACGTTAATTACATAACACAAGATTGCCATGAATAGAAGAAGCTAGTACGCTTGAAAAAACACAACCCAGAAAAAATGAAAAGACTTGCCTAATTATTTTCAAAAGGATATGTCACGAAAATGAAAAATATATATATTTGATCATAATTCAATCATACGAAACCAAATCCCCAAATGTATTTGAACTTTTTCATGTCAGAGGGGAAGTCTCTCAGATCAATAAAGCATAAACAGGTGGATAATTAAGAACAGAGGCATGTTGGGTCCATCTGATTGGTTGCATTTTTATAGCACATCAAGCCAGGCAAGGAAATTGGAAACCAGAACAAAAATAAAAATAAACAACTCCATTATCCAAGCCAACCATCTCTAGCGGTTCATAGAAACCAGAAGCTAAAGAAATTGCATAAAAGAATGCCATTAATGAAAGAATCTACTAAAGATACCTCTCCAAGCCTCCCTCAATCTCTCTATTCCCTTTTCCTATCACCATTAGTCTTTTAATTACTAAAGTTCATATTCCTTTCACAAGAGTCTATAAAAGTGTCAAAGTAGTGTCCCAAATCTCAGTGTGTTAGTGTCCCGAATATCAGTGTGCATTTTAGTACCTAGAGTCTATAAAAGTGTCAAATTAGTGTCCTAAATCTTTAAATTGGGGTTGAAATAATCCCACGAAGAGCTATTAGCGCCCCAATTTAAAGAATTCGGGACTAATTTAACACATAAGCTCTGGGATTAAAATGACCCCATTGAAACAGTCCAGGGACAATTTTTTCGCTTTACCCTCTCCAGCCACACTTTGGATGAGGAATAGAACATGACTCAAAGTTAATTAGGGATGACAATACGCAAAGGCATTGGGTGGGAACAAGCCTAAAAGGAATTTTGCATCCATCCACATTCTGAGAAGCAAGCCATGTAATTGAAGTCTCCAGAAACAGCAAGGACGCAAAAAATGTCAAAAAGAACATTAGCTACTGGTAAAATAAGCACACCAAGTATTACCTATACAAAACAGGAAGCAGCATCGACATGACCACAACACTGTTAACAAAATTTTCCACTTCACTTCACAGAAGGTACTCCATATCATATTCACTTCAGGTGTCAGTTACCTGTAGCTGTTGATTGGCTGCACATAATTTCTTTCCAGCTACCAACAACGATTTAAGAGCAGTACAAAGCTGCTCATTTTTGCTTTTGACGTCCTCCTTCATCTCCCTCATCTGCATCACCATCTCCCCCATGGCAAGCTTCTTTGCCTCTAGCTGTCGTCTCATATCATCCAATTCATTGGACTGATGCAGATATTTCTGCCTGATCTTGATGACGGATCCGAGCTTCTGTGAAAGGAATTCCTTCCGTTCGTTACCCTTCGTAAGAGCTGAGGAGAGGCTACACAGCCTGGCTAGCTCCTGCTGCAGCTCTTCCCACTGGATGATTTTAGGATTTTCGCAGCACAGGATCTCCTCACAGGGAAAGGAATCGTCTTCCACTTTCTCCGCTGATCCGATTTCAGAGTCCACGTCTACAGTCTGTTTGGATTCCATCGTTCGATTTCATCATCTCCGGCGAGCGGCGGCGGAGGTATCAATGCTCATCGACTGGCGGGAGTCGGAAAGTGGAAGCCGGAGCACCAGAACGAAAACTCCGTTGAGTGGAACCACTTTCCTCGGATACGGATTCAGGCTTGGGAAGTTAGCCCGGCCGGAAAAATGGTGCATTTACATGAATGCACCCCATAATTCTTATATTACAACTTTAACCTTACAAAAAATGAAATATATTTTTGAACACAAAAATGTTATAAATATAAATATTACATTTTAGATATTAAATATGTAAATAAATAAGAATTATGTGTTGTGTAGTAAATTTCTGAAAAATAAATAAATAAAGGAGCTTGTAGAAATGATCTTCTGATTTTCCTAATTCTTTTAATGTATATCTAAGCGCATACAATAGTAATTATTATTTTTTACATTTATATATAATTGATTCTGGTGTGAAACACGAGCTTGTCTATAAGGGCTAATGCTGAGATGTCGTCAATTAGAGTGGGGTGTCCAAACTAAGAATAATTTTGAAATCCTGAAGAAAACTTTATAGCGAGATGATGTCAGTATTGGTTGGGGAGAGGGCTCAGTACTCTACCTCTGTTAATGAGGAGAATTATTGCATTCGGAGTCCGGACGCCGGTTGCGTCCATTGTACGGACGTGATAACACTAATTGCGGGAGATTTTTTTTCTTACCGGCGATCAGTGTATCCTGTCCATTGTTCGGACGTTATTCTACGTCTAGACTCCAGACGCAATAACTTTTCATGAATTAGTGGAGGATTTTGGTTTGCTTTTGACACACCATTTAACAAGGGGGGTGTGATCCAACAAGGTATAGTAGTCGGTGATAGGTTTCTGATAACTTGGATCGCCTACCTTATCGGAGTTTGAATATGCATGGAGGATTGATGTGTCATTGCAAATGGTGAGGCCTTTTGTGACCACTCCTTTAACATAACACAACATGCATTTTAACAAATTGAAGATAGGGAAATTTCCTACAAATGAGAGGCCCGGATTTGTGATTGTAGGTATTTGAGGGATCTGACTCGTGATGATAAGTGTGGGTTGATATGTTTTTGATTGTCTGCAGCGGTCGCAGGATTGGACCTAATGGAATTTTGTAACCGCATGTCGTTGTTCAAGTTGACCAAATTAAGAATATAGGATGTACATTTGGAATGATGGTGTCATAAACCTTGAGTGTTATATGTCTGAATGCCAAGAAACATTGATATTGGGCCAAGATTTCTTTTTTAATGTTTTTTTGGGTTATTTAAGTAGTTTGCTCATGACATGAACGTTACTTGTAAAGAGTAAACCATTAGGTAGATGAGGATGTACAGTTTTGTTTGATGGCAATTGCAGATCACGGATGATAAATTAGCAATGTTAAAGTGGGACCCACGTTGGACCCAGGTGTTTGGAGAGTGGTTGAGAATGTTGTGTACCATTGGCAGTATGAGTCCATATTACTATAGTCACCTTCTTACTCCTTACTAAACTAAAGATCCTCTAACATGCTTCGAACTACCATCAAACAAATTTTCAGACCATATCTACAAGGAGATATATAGTCACTCTCCCCTGATGTAATAGGTTAATAAAATCTCTTGCATACGGCATTTTTGCAAATCTGTATCACTTCAACATGTTGGGGCTAGATGCTTCTCGAAGTCGTCACGCAATTATGCAACTAGGTCGGCCCTCAGGCCCCGCATACACATACACATCTTGTTGGATCGAGAAATTGCATCTCCTCCAAACATCAATAAAAAATGAAAAAGATAGAGTACCAAGTTGAGGAAATAGATATAGTTTGACTGGTGAGCATATCAAAAGCTTTGGGTAGGGAGATGTAGACAGTTTCATTGAGAGTTTCATGGAGGATTGCAATCTAGTTGGGAGATAGGATGTTTTAGATTAATTGTGATGGTGAGCTATACACAAAAGGTTGACATTTTAGCTACTATGTTGTATGTTTCACCGTATTCTATTTGTTGTTGTTGGTACCTCTATGCAACTATTAGGCTTTGTATGTGGTGATGGTCTTGTAAGAATTGAATTTAAGGCTATAAGCCCATTTGCAATAAAGGAGTAGTTGTTGGAGTGGAGAGGTTGACGTTGGTGTTTTTGTTGTTGGGGCTTGACAAAGGTGTTATATCTTCTTGTAGTGATTGGTTGGCAATGGTAGGATTTTTTCTATAGTTGAGAGGATTGCCTTCGTACAGGTGGAATGGTTGTTCATTTTTGTCGATGGATTGAGGTTGGGATTAACAATGGTGGTTATATTATGTTTGAATGAGATTGATTCCATGATGAAAGTTTTCAGTTGGAAGAAAGCTAATATGTGAAAGTTGATTTGAAAAATCGACCATAATGAGAGAGATACATGTGCCTGATTGTTGGATTGCGGCACATGTCACTTTTATGGAGTTGGGTGTCAACTACTAAGACATAAAGAATAAAACGGGCAAAGAATTTATTTGAAAAGAGTAATTTTAGCCATCCAAAATATAGGCGCTCAAAAGTTGTTGAAGCATGGAGATTTGTGATGAATAACTTTGAAATGAGACTTTTTATGGTGTTTGATGAATGTAGTATGTTGATTGGGTATGTAACTGTGAGGAGAACATTAGTCATCAATGTTTAGGGAATGTTAGTGATGAGCATTAAAGCACAAGTGATTTTGAGTAAGCGGCGGTGCATGCGTTCAAAAATGTTGTTTTGAAGTTTGTAGGATTTTGTTTAGAGAGTTTTGTCAACATATTCACCACTTTTGTTGGTTCATGATTTTTTAATAGAATATTGACATTACCATTCCATAGATTGTTTGAAGTTCATGATTTTTGTGGTGGATACAAATTTATTTAGCATGCAATAAATCCAACAATAACAAGAGTAATCATCAATAAAGATGATTTGGTAGTTTTAGCCATTTATTGAAATGGCTGGGGGAGGTTTATAACTATGATTAATGGAGATTGAAAAAAATAATCGACAACTTTTGGATATGTTTCAGGGAGTACAAGAGTGATATTTGGCTTGAATGTCAATACAAGGAAGATATTTGCTAAAGGTTGAAATGTAGATGTCTGAGGCATTCTTGTCATAAAATTGTGCTGGTGTTGATAGAAGCCAAAGTTATAGATGTAGATGATAAAAGAGACGGTGAATGTCAGCAAAGTGGGTAGTTTTCTATGGGATGGTCCTCAGAAAATGGTCAAGTTGGTTGGCCAAATCTTTAATGTGGTCAAATTTGTCAAAATGGAGAGATCAAGGATTAGGAATAGCTAGTTTTTGAACGAATAGGATATTATAGGATAATTTAGGGACATGGAAAACATCGCATAGGTATAACTTCTGAAAAATTGGCAAACTGTCTCGTCCTATGTGCACAATGGAAAGTTATTGCCCATTGCCTACTGTAATTTGTTGATTGTCAAGTTATGACTACATGTGGTGCAAATAGGTTGCATCTATGGTGAGATAGTTTATTGCTCCAGTATAAATATGCCAACCAATTTCATTGATGGTGTTCCAACAAGAAGAGCTTGTAATTTAGTAACGATGGACTGGAAAATAAATCAATCTTGTATCAGCATTTAGTAGTTGAGTGTCCTATTTTATTACAAATTTGGCAGGTTACAAATGTGGAGAGTCTAGCCTCTTTGGATGTGGGGTATAATTGAGAGTTTGTGAGGTATGGGGTGTTCTTTCTTCCGTTGGTATATTATTAACAGCTTCACCCTCTAACCCAAACAATAGAAATAGCTGCGGGATCACAAGGTTGAGCCACAACTTGGAGTTCACAGGGAGCTTGATTTATTTCCTCACAGCATAGAAAGAAATAGAGGTTGTCTATGTTGATTGGTTGTAGGCTGGTTCTGAAAGTAAGTTTAAAGCTTGAGTGTGCAATGAATTATATTTTCTTGGTCAAGGGAGGAGCCTACTGCAGCAACAGCATTGACTTTGGACTTGAATGCAGAGGTCATGGATTGGTCTTTAATGAAAAGGTTTTGAATCTCATTTTTTAGCTTGATTGTGTGGGATCTATTGTGGTGGGTTGGAGGGAGTGTTGGATAATAGACCAAATGGTATTGCATGAGTTAAGGTTCAGAACATAAGGAAGAAGGAGAATTGAGATCGTAGAATTGAGTATGATAACAAGGTTTTGGTTCACTAGAAGCCATAGGCTATAGTAGGGACTGGGAGGAAATCTTTCATAGGATTGTGGTGCATGGGCATATGGTCGGTTTATCTTGTCTTCCAATTACCCTTTGAATCCATTAGCACGGAAAAGTTGAAAGAGACATAGAATTTCCATGCGGATGGTCTTCAGGGGTTATTTTGAGTGTTGGTAATGTTTTTAATGTTTAACAATAAAAACTTTAGTTGATCAGGGATGGGTAACTTGCCCAGCTTGTGTGGGCTAGAGTCTTCGCCATTGGGGTTTGTGGTGGTTGAATGGTGTGACATTGGTGTTCTTTGGGTACTTATGTGTGATGGGATTAATGTTGCTCCTTTAGGAATGACTCTCTAATACCAAAAATGAATTTTACTCTCACAAGAATAGCTATAAAGGAAAGAAAGCAAAGCATGGAGAATTTATCTTTTACTATTCCATTGATAATAGTAACACACTGCATTGAGTAAGGCTAGTGAAGGAGTTGGTAGAGAGCTTTTTCTCCAAGTAGGAAACCCAAATTCAAAGCACACTATCTACTAATTTCTACCTTAATTTTCATTAAGGATCAACTTCCCCTTCAAAAAAAAAACATGCATAATTGAATGCTGCTTTAAGTGTTCTTAAATAATGCTTCATTTGGCAGAGTTTTCATGACTATGCGACTTGGGGTAGCGATGAAAGCAGGTATTTTTGTTCAGTTGAGATTCCCTGCTGTACAGTACTGTTTTTTTTTTTTTTTTTCTTTTTTTTGCGCGCATTTAGAATACCGCGG